TACGCCATATGCAGTTTTCGTACCTGGTACAGTTGTTGGTGTTAATTTTGTCATTGATTTATTTGAAATTCAGCAAGTGGTTTTAGACTCTCAGTAAAGAACGACGTATAATGTTGAATACGTGACCAAAATGTCACGCGATCACGTGTTTTAATAATCGAAGAAACATTGTCTGTGCACTTTGTGCATTAATATCAGGAATAAATCAATCTTTTTATTGTAAAATTTTTATTATTTAATATGTATTACTAAGCAAAATGAATAAAAAAATCGAATACAAATATCGGAGACTTACTTTATAATATATAATTCTAATGTTTTAAAATAATTTACTTTTTAAAAATTAATATAATTGTTTTAATATATAAAATTATAAAATAGGTAAATTTTTTTTTTTAAAAAAAAAAAAAAAAAAATAAATTAAAATAATTAAAATAGAACTATATATAGCAAATATTTTTATTATTATTTACGATAAACAATAATTAAATGATTATCAATCATACTAATGCAGGTCTTAATTAAAATTCACGTGATCGTTCCAATACTTTTTTCAAGAATTGAACTAGCCATATTTAGTCCAAAAAAAGCGCGTTTTATCTTGTCGTTTTAAAAAGAGATTTCCGTGTCGGACCAAAAAAAAATTTGATAAATTAATAATTTATTACTTGGCCTTTCGTTTTTTTATTTATTTATACCACAGCTAATTACTTGACAATGGCGCGTATTGAAACTATTCACGAACTTTATAACGCGACTTTATGGGATTTCAAAGCGGAAGGCAATGCTAATATAATATTATCTTATAATGGCGAAAATGATATTTTCGTATGTTATAAAGGTTCTTTGTTCCCTTACTTATTTTATAACAAAATAATTTGAATTAAAGATAAACCTATTTAATTCTTGTAGTCAGCTGTAGTACTTCGTTTGCGAAAAGATAACGAAATTAAATTTGACACATCTGTTGATCCCCAATTCTTTACGACTTCTTACGTAAATTTCGTTATGATGCCTTTACTTGGTAGTAAATACGTTGGTGAATCGGTATAAATTGTCGTATTAATGTATTACAATTTGACTTTTGGATAAACAAATTCATTATATAAAAGTGTTTCGTAGATTTTGTTGGAAGTAAGACCTGAATTTCTTAAGGCTTTATCTAGAGCAATCCTTCCCTTGCGATCCAAAAAACGAATTCAAAATGACATCGATTTCAAGCAGCGATATGGTATGTTAACACCTAATCATACGAGGTTTTCAGTGAATATTAATCCCACAATTTCCGTAGAATTGAAGGTATTTTTTTTATTTTTTTTAATATTGAATGTGAATTCATTCTCTGTTTTAACTAAATATATTTTTTTTTTTTGGTATACAGCCCAAATGGGCTTTTTTGCCATCTTCTTCTTTCATAAACTGTGATAATTCTGTAAAGCTCCAATCATGTCGTTTTTGCATGCACAAATATCTTAATAAAGATAAAAGGAATCCAACCAGATATTGTCCGTTGGATTTATTTTCTTTAGAAGATAAAAGAGTAAGAAAGGCAATAGAATCGCTAATAAATGATCCTGGAAGTAATTTAAAGTTATTTATACAAGGAACGCAAATTGAAATTGGAAAGGTAAAGCTAGGTAATAAAGTTTGTGATAAATTATATTGTATTTAAATTTCACTATAATTTTGTTCTGATATAGGAAAATTGGCAAACTCGATTATATGAATTTTTCGAAATCGATTGTCCTATGTTGGACGATAGAAAACAGTAAGTTTATAATTTTTTAATGCGTAGTTATATTTAATGACGATTCATAGATAATTTCTTTTTATTTAAATCGCCCAGAAAAAGCAATCGTGTAGTTGATATGCTTATTTCATTGTTGATACAAGCCATCATGAAAGAACAAGATTTGTTTATTAAGTTAAAGAGGTTGCAAAAAACTCTAGATGAATTAGATATTGAAGGAATAGATCAAATTTTATTAACTCATCAACCGAAATTATCTGAACCTTCGTTAGAAGAATGGAAATTGATAGTAAACGAATATAAGAAAAGAACGAGTGATGAAAACGGTTGGTATTTTTTTTTTTTTTTTTATATTTTGTATCATGTATTTAATATTCTATTTAATTAGCATTTGAGATTACGAATATGGATGATAAACAAATTCGCCAGCGGATTTACGAATATTTGATATCTGCTACCTTGAAAGACTGTTCTATAATTTTTGCTTTTCAGAAATCAGATTATAACGGACTTGGAATAAATAATAAGCAAGGCGTTGCCGAATTACAATCTCAATTTTATAATTATAGGTAACTTTTTCCTTGCGTTTTCCATGTTGCGTTTAAATTAATGATTTATATAATGATTTTAACAATTTGATTATTTTGTTTTAAAGTTCAATTTTTCCAGAAAGACTTCAACAAATATCATTAACTGAAACGCAATCAGCCATTTATCATAATTATAATGGTTCCTATAAGCATTATATTTACAAAGTCAATGTTATTGATTTAGATCCAAAACCTTTGGCAAAATTACATTATTATAAAAAATTAGATACAGAAATTGTAAAGAATTACTTAAAATGCACTACAATAAAAAAAAAATGTTCTGAATGAATTAAGATTATTTATTTATTCTAAGTAAATTTTATTTAATTGTATTAATAATGAACTCAATATTTTGAATATATATTTTTATATTTCTTACATTAGTTGTGATTGATGAAATCATCTGTGTATATTACTTATAATTGTGTGAATATATATTTTTAATAGGTAAATAAATGTGTAATAACAAATCAAATTATTAAAATTCTTTCGTAAATTACGACCTCTTTGATTCACCATTGAGGATAGATACATTTATAAATTCATTTACTATGTTAAAGAAAAAAAAAAAAAAAAAATGTTATTCAATCTCAATATATACATTTATCTCCATAAGCGTAAGATTGATTACTTTTTAGTTTTCTTTGAAACCTTCCGTGTAGATTTATGACGTTGTTTATCCTGATCTTCTGGTTCTTGTGGTTGATGTTTTATATGGACTACGTTTGCTGAAGTTAGCAAATTAACTGCTGCTTGAATTTGTCGATCATCTATTACCGAACGATCCGATGGAGTTGTAGAGGGTGAAGCGGAAGTTTTTATTTGTTGTGAAATTTGTTTTTGATTTTGTGGTGTTTGTTGTTGAGTAGAATGATGTGAGGTTTGTGTTGGTACTAGTGATTGATTTGTTAGTATTTGCGATGTCGTTTCTGAGGATGATTGTTGTTGTTGAGCAAATTGTTGGTGTTGAAGGCGAAGTTGTTCCTGTAGTTGAATTTTATGTTGCATATGATCTGCTTGAAACTAAACAACGTTTGTGTCATTCGAGTTCTTTTTCTTAATTATTAGATATTGATCATAGGAGTGAAAAGATTAAAATTATAAAGCAATATCCAAAGAATTTAGTTCCTTACCTGTTGATGATAATAGGAAGCAGCAGTAACAGAAGTAGAATCAGGTGTATATGGAATTCCATGTTGTGGTGGTGGATAATAAGCTAAAACATCTTGCTCGGGATATATATGTTCTGTTTGCTTAAAATTTTTTTTTTTTTTTTGTTTTTTTTTTTATTTGAAAAAATATTGTAAAGTATAAATCAAAATACTCTTATACGAAAAAAAAAAAAAAAAAAAAAGAAAAAAAAAAAAAAGAAACCGTCATATACAACAAAAAAAACTTTTATAAAACGCAATATACATCAAAAAGCATTAACGCCTACAGGTTCATCCTTTGGTCTCCTACTTGAGGTTTTAGGTACTTCTTCTCTTGGAACGATATCAATTAAGAAATCGAATTGATCAGATCTACTAACAGCAGATGCAACGTCACTCCGTTGTAGGGTGCGACGTTTGTTTTCTTCAGCATGGATCCATGCTCGCATTGTAATCTCAGATATAAAAATCTCGCAAGCTTTAGAGAATAAGATTGGTGCCTAATTATGATGATATAATATTTATATAAGTAATTAAGTCGAAAGTCATTTCTGGTGAAAAAAAAGTCTAACCTCTGCACTAATCATCTAATTTTCGATTCAAAGGTATATATGTTTATTAGTAAAAATGAACAATTAATAATGTACTCATTAAAAATATATAATACTTTAAATTTCTCACTTTAACATCCTGATCACTTTTCATGACTTTCTTGATTCTTGCTAGAGGTAGAGGATGGTTTTTAAAGTCACTTTCAAACTGTTCTGCTAACGAAAGTTGTCGACTCCAGAACTAGAGTTTTTTAAAAGTCATTATCAGTAACCCCAATTTTTTTCATATTACTTAAAACAAAATAATCCTTAATAAAAATTTCTTATTGATCACTTCATATAAAAAATCGTTACTTTCTACGAACCTGCTGCATAAACGCCTGATTTTGTTGTTGCTGTTGCAGTTGTTGTTGCGTTTGAATATGTGTTGAGGTTGCCGGAGTGTTAGAGGTGGGTGCGACATTTGAAGTTGTTGGAAGATTTTGGTCAACAACGGTCTGTACTGTTGGTTCCGTCATAGCAATTATTTTTCTATTTTTCTTTAAAAAGTTAAAGTTAAAAGGTAAAAATATAATAATATATATAAACTGACTTTCGCTTTCGATTTGTTTACTTTTGTGATGAGGACAAAATGCGGTATATTATTAATCAGGTGATAATTGATGATCGACCAATCGCATTGTGCATGAATTAGTTACAAAGGTATGTATTGGTTACAATGAAATTAGTACGTCGTTTTTTTTTAAAAAAAAATACTTTTTTCACCTTCTTTTTTGGGTTATAACTAATCCAATAAGTAATTAGAATAAATATTATTGTAATTATTTTATTTTTTATCTAATATAAATTACTATATATTATTATAATATAAATGCTTTATTAAAAAATAAATTACATTTAGTTTCTTTTTTTTATTATGCTTTTTCAATAATATATTATATAATATTTTGACATCTAGTAATTATATTATATATTTATCTTTAATAATTACTAGTTAATTAATTTTTAAATTAATAGGCAAATTTGTAAATAAATAAAATTCATATTAATTTTTATTTATTTAGTATTATTTATAAATATATTAATTTTATTTATTTAGTATATAAAGTTAAATTAATGATTATTATAATAATATAATATTTTTAATAATTATATATTTAATAATATTAATATTTTTTATATTTAATAATTATATTAATTATAAAACTTATTAACTAAAGTAAAAAATTAGTAATATTTTTATATTAATAAAATTATTAAATAAAATTTAATTTTTTTTTAAATAAAATTATTATAATTTAATAATTTTTATAGGATTTATTTATAAATTTATATAATTTGAATTTATAAATATATTATATAAGTAGTGTCTTAAGATATTACTTATTCAAGACTAATATGTTTTAGGATATTATAATTTATTAATTAATATGTTCTAAGATGTTATAATCTATTAATTAATATATTCTAATCTATTAAATAATATGTCTTAGGATGTTATAATCTATTAATTAATATGTCTTAGAATGTTATAATATACTAATTAATATATTCTAAAATAAGGTCTGTTTCCTCTCTTTGTGACCTATTGGTTAGTAATTATGAATAAAATACACGTCTATTTGGTTATCTGTCTAGATGGTAAAGTAGTGTAAAAAAGTAACAAGTGATACAGTAAATTTGCGTCTAAATTTGGCCAGCATTATAGCATAATTTCTGGCTAATCTTTGAGACATATGATCTAAAGGATCTAAGTTAGTATTATGGTAGTGATCTGGTAATGCCTGAAACTCTTTTAGAACTATTATAGAACTGGTAAGAAACTGTTATAGAACTAACAGGAAGCCAAAGATATTCTATTTGTTTTTCAGTTCTAGCTCACTTTTATACTAATTTGGATGCTAAAATATTATTCAAAGTTCTAACCAAAATTATGAAATAATGCTGACCAAAATTAATCAAAATTTACTATGCATTATTTTTTTCTAAAATGGATATCACAAGTAAATACGTATATTATTAAGAGTGTCATATAATAGTAGTTTTAGAGAGCTCAGTGATAGGTGATTTTTTGCACATATATTATTAATTTTACTACGCTTAAAGTTTTTATAATACTTTACGCATATATTATTAGAAGAATCATATGATAGTAATCTCAAAAAGCTTTGTATCAAATGATACTCTATATGATAAGTATTGGGAAATTCTATCATGACCGCACTATTAATTGCTAGATTGCCATCTGTAACAAACACCTTCAGAGGTATACTAGTTGCTTCCTTCACACATCGAAAGACCCACTCATATGAAAGTTGAGTTTCATCGTCAACAATTGCTTAGGCCACAATTCGCGTTTTCAAATTGTTATAAGGGATGACAAAGAGGGACAAAGGACGATCATAGCGATTGGTTTTGCAAGTGTTATCATACATTATTACGTCATGGTAGCGCAACCATAAATGTGTTGTTCAGGACTCATCCAAAAAAGATGAATTAAAAAAGAAGTATCCAGATCAAGCTTCATTGAAATTACCTAATGTGGGTCCTCCATTTTTTTGCTATAGAGTCTTTTTAGTAAAATCCCTGTATCTGCTTTATCTGGTGCCATTTTGCGATGAAACTTGCTTATGGCATTATAAAGATCTTGTCAGATAATTCTAATATTGAACTTTTCTCTAATAACTCTATATTGAATGGTTGCATTTGCTTTGGCAACGACGGTTAAAAAACGAATTTCTTCAATGACTTCCTCTGGTAGTTTGCGCAATGTTGGAACAAATCGAACTGCTAATGGGTGAAGTTCATGACCAGTATGCTGATTATGTAAAGTCGTAACTTCCAAATGGCCTTTGTTTTTTTTATTCCAAATATTAACCTTCCACAGGCATCTGATTCTACATGAGAATGTATTTGAATGCTATTTCTCCATAAGTGCTGTCTGATTGGACTTTGCTTGTCCAGCATGCCAGCACAAATAAGTTCACTTAATTACTTCCTTTGCTTTATTTACTTTCCCATCATCACTAATTCAAACTCCGTGACCTTTAGTAGCAGCGTATTTTTTCATGAAATTTGAAATATAATCCCAACTTTGAAAAATTTTTTCAACAAAAAGACTTATATTCTTTTTCGTCGTATTCTCAATATCACCAGATATACTATAAGATAAAATGGTTACTTTTATTAGATATGTTTTATCATCCTAATATACAATACGATACTCTAATTACTTGATTGATTGCTTACTTATCTGTATCAGAAAAATCTTCTGTACTATCATATTCTAATAATGCTTCAAATTCCTTGTCTTATAGTGCTTCAAATCCTTCAAATTCCTTGTCTTGTAGTACTTTAGATCCTTCATTTTGAATATTTAATTCTTTCATGATTAATATTGAAGTAGCTCAACCTAACAGACAACGTAATCGAGCACGATAAGTACCCAAGAAGGAGGAGGAGAAGAAGGAGGAGAATTTAGACAACAGAATACAGGAGAGTTCGACCCACCACTATATAATCAAAACCTTTATATCATTAAAAACGTATCCTATAAG